TTGTGGGGTTGTTGTGTAGATTATTAAGTTACATTATTGAAACCATGAATCGATCAATGTTACTTTACAGAAAGTCAACTGAAACGTATGACTTACTAGAGGTGTGTTTTATGCCAGTTTTGAGATTCTCCCATAACTTATGTAAATCATATCACAATGAAATAGTTCGAAAGATGATCTTTTATTCAACCTCTATGGTATTTCCAATTACCACTTATTTAGTTAGTTATGGAGATTGTTAAGTCTTATCAAAATAATGAATCTATCAGTGTTACATCGCCATTAGAAACCTGGAAGCACTGAATGACCCACATAATGTGAATTATCATGGACTCAGTAATAAGGTTTCTCTGACCCATTTAGTTCAACCCTGTTCGAATATGAAGCAAGGCTCATCAAAGACAGTGAATTAGGTTTCGAGTGACCGTAAATTGATCAAAGTTAGACATGAACACCATTGTTGGATGCCAGCGCGCTCAATGCTCTTAGATTTGTTTCATCGGTACCGACATTCTATTGAGTTAAGTACACAAACCCGATAATTTCAAATTTGATCTCATTAACTTCCATTCATCAGTGTACAGTCGGTAAACTAATTTCTTAATTCTAGTTTGCTGAAATAATTAACTTGAATAATCAAATGTAATTCAAAATACAAAAGCGCAAATCGTAAGTCAGAATAATAAATTTTCGTGACTTTGCTTGATTTATATCTTTTATGCTTTTTATATAAAAAAAGACAACTCAAAACTCTAAAATGATGGCGACAGTTTAAAAACCGAAAAAAAACTGAAAACGGTTTTCTGTCATAATCAGTTAATTCCATGTAAATAAATGTACCATAGTAATAATAATAATAATAATAATAATAATAATATTTTCTTTTAATGTTGACTATTATTGACATGATCACTGTATCTTTTAGAGTAAAAGAAATAACTTTTATCTCTAGAATATTTCACTAATGATTCATGACATGAACAAACTTGATTTGTCCTAGAATGGTTCGAAGAAAAACTGGTATTGAATATAAATGAAGCTGTAAATAGAAATAATACCGGTATTAGGTTGGAGAGTTTGTTGAGTTTCATTGAAATCATGAACTAACTGATCAATGTTAGTTAGATCATTATTGAAAAGCTGGAATTGCGTTTGCCCGCTAAATCGAAGGTCTTGACTTTGATTTCCGCTTCAAGGATCATGGATGCCTAACGCTGTTGATGAGTCTTACACAAGGAAAAAACAGTTGTCCAGTAATATTAGTTAGTATGTTTGTTTGACTCGGACTTCGGATTCGCTGGCCAGACTCTATCAGCAACAACCTACCGTGGGAGAGAACAAATCAGATTCCTGTGGAGGAGGAAATCAGGAAGAAGCGATGGAAGTGGATAGGACACACTACGAAAGGCACCCGATTGCGTCACAAGGCAAACCCTCACATGAAGCCCTCAAGGTCAAAGGAAAAGTGGAAGGCCATGAAACACATTACTTCGAGAAATAGAGAAAGGCACGAGAAGAATGACCAAAAACTGGGAAGAATTGGAAAGGGAAGCCCAGGACAGAGTTGGTTGGAGAAAAGTGGTGGGCGGCCTATTCTCCATTGAGGGTAACAGGCGTAAGTAAGTAAGTAAGTAATGTTTGTTTGGTTGACGTAAATATTTGAATTCTGTAGTAGGTCACCGAGTTGTGTATTCATCTACCCCATATGATACTAACCTATATTGTTTGTATTTCTCAAAGTGAGTACGTTTATAGTCAGACCAATATTTGAAATCATCAATCAATCATTATTAGACCACCATTAGAAACGTGGAAGCACTGGACGGCCGTTTCGTCCTGGTATGGGACTCATCAGCAGTGCGCAGTGCCGTCCCAGTGGTCCGATGGTTGGGCGTTCGCGCACAATACCGAAAGTCCCGGGCTCGAATCCTGCGAGGTGCAGGAGTCGTGAATGCGCACTGCTGATGAGTCCTATACCAGGACGAAACGGCCGTCCAGAGCTTCCAGGTTTCTAATGGTGGTCTAACAATGATTGATTGTTGATTTCAAATGTGTAAAAACACAAACTTCCAAAACTGTGCTCGAAAATATCAGACTAATATGTTTGAATTCAATAATCTGAAATTCTCAAAATAATCGAATTTCAGAATTAGTTATTGACATAAACTCTACCAAGAGTACATTTACAATATGTTGACATTCAATTTAACCATTAACACTACTTACCATCGATTTTAAAATACACTCTAAAATTAACCTTACTTGTTTTTAAATAATAAAATATAATAATTTTGTAGATCTGTTACAAATAGTCCTAAAAAATATCATTCTTGAATATGATTTCAACTTTGAATACATTATCATAATACAGTATATGACTCGAACGTTTGCTATATTTCATAAATTCAACAAAACGCTCTTCCAACAAATACTCATTTACACCAGTTCTCTGAAGACCAATAGCGATGGAAAACCGATGTGGATGGGAATACTTGTCGTTGTTTTTAACTCCACGATATTAGTACATTGAAGTTTCAAGTCAGCAAACGATCTTTATATGCAACAACAAGTTTGTTGTTATGTTACACCTTCAGTAAATATTAGTTTATAACGTGTTGACCAAACTAAACAATTCAATGCACTGAGGAAAATATCGTAACATATGCAATCAATTTGATTTTGCATGTAAATTAGCTTGCCTTACTAAACTTATAGTTATTGAGAATACATAATTACTTACTTGCTTACTTACTTACTTACTTACTTACTTATGCATTTTACCCCCAATGGAGCATAAGCCGCTGGCTAGCATTATCCAACCTAGTCTGTCCTAGATCTTCTTTTCTAGTTCTATCCATTCGCTGTTCATTCTTCTTATGTCTGTTTCCGATTCTGGGCATAATGTATTCTTTCGTCTTCCTCTCTTGTTTTGACGTTTAGAATTCTAGGTGAGAACTTATCTTGTGACGCAGTTGGATGCTTTCCGCGATGTGTGTTCTATCCATAGCTTCAGTTCTTTTTCCTAATTTCTTCCGCAGCTTCATTCTATCTCACAGCAGACTGATGCTAATGGTGTATGGTCAACGAAACGGGAGACAACTATTAATAAATACTTGTATCTTATGGATGATGACGTTGGTGGTTTTCCAGGTTTCCACTCCATACAGTAGAACTATCTTGACATTTGTACTGAATGTGTACATATGTATATATATATATATATATATATATATATATATATATATATATATATATATATATATATATATGTACTGACTCTGATGTTTGTTGACAGTTGATTTGAGTTGCAAATGTTCTTCAATTATAGAAATGCTGCCCTCGCTTTGCTAAGTTTTACTTTGTTTATCAATGATGCTGTCCAGATATATGAAAGTTTCTCCATCTATCAAAAGGATGTTCGTTATGTGTGATTTGTTTGGTGCATTCTGTGTTTCATCGTAGGATGTATATCGGATGTGTATCGATTCCAGCATTATAATTATTATTACTTACTTACTTAATTACGCCTGTTACCCAGACAATGGAGCATAGGCCACCTACCAGTTTTCTCCAACCAACTCTGTCCTGGGCTTCTCTCTCCAACTGTTTACAGGTTTTGTTCATTCTTTTCGTTTCTTTCTCTATTTCTCGGCGTAATGTGCTCCTTAACCTTCTTCTTTTCCCTAAACCTTGAGGGTTCCAAGTGAAGACTTGTCTTGTGATGCAGTTGTATGCTTTCTACAGTGTGTGTCCTATCCACTTCCATCGCTTCTTCCTGATTTCCTCCTCCACTGGAATCTGGTTTGTTCTCTCCCACAGTATGTTGTTGCTGATGGTGTGTGGCCAACGAATTCGAAGTATTTTGCGTAGACAACTGTTAATAAACACTTGTATCTTGTGGATGATAGCAAGTTTCCGCTCCATACAGTAGAACTGTCTTCACATTTGTATTGAAAATCCTGATTTTGGTGTTGGTTGAAAGTTGTTTGGAGTTCCAGATATTTTTCAACTGTAGAAATGCAGCCCTTGCTTTTCCATTCCGTGCCCTCACATCTGCATCGGATCCACCTTGATTGTCGGTGATGCTGCCAAGATATGTAAAGGTGTTAACGTCTTCCAAAGCATCTCCATCAAGATTGATTTGGTTGGTGCATGTTGTGTTGCATCGGAGAATTTCGCTTTTTGCTTTATGTATGTTGAGATCTGACACCGGTCTTCACCTCAAACGTGTTTGTCAGCTGATCTCCGGGCACGATTTTGCAGTTATTATTATCATTGTCATTAGGAACTTATTTATTTCACTTAACATATATGAAAGCTTTCTCTCCAATGTACATTTCATTTCTGCTTTCTGTTGATTCATTCAACATAGCCAATATGTGTATACAGCGACCAAAAACTAAAAGTATTTTGTTTTTCATGAGCTAAATGCTGAGAAGATATCATCTTCTATGGTGAATAATCACAATTAATCATTATAGGATAGTTCATCATCATTGAGTAGTAATTTGTTAACTGTTTTCATTTACTACTGTTATCTGAACATGTAAATATATATACATGTAAATGTATATACCTATATACCTACTCTATTCATATATATAGATATATCCATGTATGTAAACATATGAACAGATGGACACAGGAGATTATTCAACAACAATAAAAAACAGAGAAACAATTTAATGATAGTACTTTGACAGAATACTACCAATCTATCTATCCATCTATCCAACTATCCAACTATCTATCTACGGATGTTGGGTTAGACAATTCATCTCTACTTGTTTTGTATCACACTTAATGCCTGTTTTATGTACATTTGGAAATAAACATAGTCAATCTGCTGTTGTTTGCTTTTTCGTATTCTCTTCTGCTGAATTTGTCCATTTAAACAGCCCCCTTCTGTTATGTGCCCCTAACCCTGCCCCATATTGGAAACATTAATACCAGAAGACGCATACAAGACGCATTAACTAATATAATGTAATATCACATATATGCATATATATGTTATGCGCAAATCTAAATGGAGAGATTGTTTTATTGCGAGTAGTATTAGTAGTAGTAGTAGCAGTAGTAGTAGTAGTAGTAGTAGTAGTAGTAGTAGTAGTAGTAGTAGTAGTAGTAGTAGTAATAGTAATAGTAGTAATAGTAGTAGTAGTAGTAGTATTTTGTTAAATAATTCACATTATGATAAAATCTAATATACATTTTTCATAGTTATTATATATATTTATTTCTCTCATTAGTTATGCTTTGTATAAATAACACTCATTACTTTAAAAAAAGCAATAATAGACAGACTTCAGAAGATGATATGATGTGTTGAGTACAGTTTAATATCATATAGGGTAGGTAATAAATAAAGTTACAAGCCCATGAAGACAATACGAACAATACGAACGATTGAGGTAGAACGTGTACAGTGGATGTCAAGTCTTGTGATTTCCTTAATGTGTGTCCTATCCACACCTCTAACGCTTCTTCTTGATTTGTTCCCCAGCCGGAATCTGGTTTGTTGTTTCTCATAGTAGGTTGTGGCTGATGGTGTCCGGTCAACAGATACACAGTATATAGCGTAGAAAACTGTTAATGAACACCGAATAATGGTGGTTCTGCAAGTTTTCATTCCATTCATTAGAAGTGTCCTGACACTTGTTTTGAAAATCGTGACTCTGACGTTTATCAATAGTGGTTTTGAGTTCCAGATTTTATTCATATATATATATATATATGTATATATATATATATATATATATATATATATATATATATATATATATATATATATATAGGATCGTGAACCAGTCATCGAGTGATTTATGCAACTACTGTTCAAGCTAGAAAGTCACATATGTGTGTAAGCTGTGACATGCAATCTTGCATACATGTTCGTCAAACATGATGATCATTAAACGTTAGATCCCCAGAACTCACTTGATAAAGGTCCTTATTTTGGATTTCATGATTTCGCGCATGGGCTGATCAGCTGACCTTGCAAAATTTCTCCCCTCACGGGAAATCCTTGACTGTCATTGGTTAATGTATTATTTTAGTAAGCTATTTTTTTTGGCTCTCCCAAGGACGTTTCTACGAAGTATGGATAAACTCGATTTGTGTGCTTGAGAACCTCGATTTTCTTGGTGCTTGTAGAATACACTTTCTACTTTTTGTCAAAACTACTTCATTTACTTAGTGGGTCCCATCGTGTCACTGGATCACTTGTCTTCGCTCACGTTTACCGACAAGTGTGAACTCGTTATGGTTTCAAGCATATCAATTGACGAGCATAACAAAAACGTAATACAAAAATATAAACACATTGATGACACCTACCGAATAACTACTGTCTGTTAAATAAATGATTTAACTGAAATGCTTCTACAAAATTAAACGAATTCAGACTCACATTTAGGTGGGCTGCTAGCTATATTGTACAGTTTATTTACAATAAACTCCAGGTTCGTTTTTAATAAGCTAGTTTCCATTTTCGTAGTGTGTGTTCTATCCACTTCCACCACATCTTCTTGATTTCCTCCTCCAGTGGAATCTGGTTTGTTCTTTCCCACAGTACGTTGTTGCTGGTGGTGTCTGGCCAACGAATGCGAAGTATTTTGCGAAGTGAATTTTGAAGAGTATCATTATTATTAACTAGTTAGATTTTGCACAGGGAAATAGACGATCGAACACTTTTGTGGATCATTTCAGCAATCATATATGAAACCATTATTTTTCCTAAAAAAGAAGTATCACCCTCAGTTTCTTTACAGAACAATTAACTACTATTATATTCATGCATCATTTCTAATCACTGTTTAACAAATGTAACCACTTGAATAGAAGTAGTCAATTATCAATATCGATTACTTAATCTCTTACATTCATTGATGGTGATTTAACATTACATGAGAAAAGAGGAAAATGAATGTATTTGACAACGATGATTAAGTCAATCCTGTTAGGGACGTTAGATGCCCAGAACTCACTTGGAATTGGTTCTAATTTTGCATTTCTTATGTTTTCGTGCATAAGTTGCCCGGTTGACCTTGAGATTGCATTTCCCACTCGGAAAATCTTTGACTGTCATTGGTTTATGAATTAGTTTATTATGCTACTTTTGTGGAATTTCCAAGGACGTTTCTATCATGTATGAATAAGCTCGATTTGTGTGCTTGTAGAAAACATTTTTTACGCTATATCAAGACTGCTTTGTTATAGCTAGCTGGCTTAGAATAACCTATCGTGTCTCACTCGTTTTCCGAGTAAAGTGAACTCGTAATAGCATTCAAACATATCAATTGACGAGGATATCAAATCCATAAAAGGTTTCCTTGTGAAATCTTTCAACCTTCAGCAGTTTATCTTACCCATGTAGACATAAATAGTTTAGCAGAGTATGGAATAAATTGATCCGTCATCTGCTCTGTGATTGATCACAACTTCAAAATAAATTGATTGCAGGTTGAATGAAACCCGGCAGTTATTTGATAACTTGCCAGCTCTAAAGTGTATCATTTACACTGACTGGTGTCGTTCGTTAAATGTGTAAGTTTAAGATTCAAATCTTGAATGAACAATGTCGTAAACTGATAATTATATAAGTTTCTGTGATACTGGCACCGAATTCCATAAAAGGAACTTTTAAGGATTGTAGTTAATCACCTGTTCAGTTCATCGATATATATAAATTGCTATCTTTCTTTCTAAATGTCATTAAAATTTATGAATACATAATTGAGTGGTAGAATTTAATTTTTTCATTAAAACCAAAATATATCCAATTATCATATGATTACAATTAAGAATATATTTTGTAATACTAGAAATATTAACACTACGAAAACGTTTTCATCAACATGAATTATGATATACTGGAAGAAATTTTTATATATCATACGAATGAATAGTAATTATTTAACAATATACTCTATGCGTATGATTTCAGTCGCTCAAATCATCTAACAGTATTTGAATTATGAAACTTTTAGACCAGTTCAAATATTGTATAACCATTATTCAGTTTTTTTCATCTATCCTAAATAATATGGAAAGAATTTCAGTGTACTCGGATTTTCAAAGAGCAGATGAAAGACGGAAAATATCTCAATTTACTTTCATGTTCTTAATTGAGTTTCACTGGCTTTTTGCCAACATCACAATGGTCGGTTCTCATTCTTTTTCATAATAGTTTGTGAGTATTTATGCATAGGCCGCATTCATAGCTGCTCATTTGTCATGCAATTAAGTTGAATAGGCACAAATGACAAGCAGATAATCTGAATATTGAAATCATAATTCAAAGCATAGACATTAGTTGACCAGTTGAAATAGCCAAGAACGTAGAGCACAATTATGATAATAATAATAATAATAATAATAATAATAATAATAATAATAATAATGAAATAATATGTATTCATGAGCTATTGAATTTTTCATTGAAAACGTTGATGAGGCTTGAAAAGACAAACGAATTCCAATCAGAAGGCGAGATGAATAAATTTACTCAAAAAGTCATATGTTACTTTAAAAGAAGCGCTTTTTAACGAAAAATTCACTATTTGATTTGAATGAATGAATGAATAAACTGATGATGTGAAGTTTAAAATTGTAGGCTAATTTTTCGGTTTATTTGAAATTAAAGTTATTTGCTTTTTACTCAGTTTAATTTGAGTGAAAAAGTTGAATTCTTTGAAGTCCAAACAAAATGAAATCTCCAAAATGTGTTGATCACATTTCTTTAACAATGGAATACAAAATCAGTCTGATTTCCAGGTAAAATACCATACTGATTAGAAAATATTTTCCTAGTTCCTCATTACGTCACTCATTTAAATTAACCTCAAAAAATATATCTAAATATTATTTATTGGTTGAAGTTTTAGCGTTTATCATTTTCATGCTGATTCAGTGGGCTAAAGATTGGGCTTTTGCGCGCAAGACCAAAGATTCTGGCTCCGATTGCCATGCTGTAGAGTCTGATTCTATTGGTTGATTCTTACTGGTCAATATTATGGTCGTCCTAGCTATCAATAACACTTCAAAGGTTGTTTCTTATTAATCGTCCTAATTGTCAATGTCACAGACTTCAATGTTGTTTCCGACTCGACCTAAGTGTATAAATATGCATTATCCGTAACCTTTTATGACCCGAATCCCTAGTCCGGGATTCTGATTCTCTTCTGAATTCGGACGTCGTAGTTTCTGGATGCTTGTAGAATACATGTACTACTTCATATCAAATCTTCTTCTTTTAGTCCATGGGAGACGGTTCGGACACTCGGATTTATTTGAAGTTGGCCAGAGACTCTCAACAGTAAGCGGAAGAGGAAATCATGAACGAGCGGTGGAAGTAGATAAGACACACACTGCGGAAACCACCCAAACGCGTCACAGGACAAGCTTTCACTTGTAACCCTCATGGTAAAAGGAAAAGGGGAGCGCCAAAGAACACATTACATTGAGAAATGGAGAAAGATATAAGAAAAATGAACAACAAATGGACAGAAGTTGAAAGGGAATCCTAGGACTGAGTATGGTGGAGAATACTGGAGAACACTAACGGCCATGGAAAACAACATATCACTTACGAATATTTGATTACTTAATGCATAAAGCATACAATTGTCAACTCAGCTGCATCAACCACCGTTTTGTTAAATTTGCTTCCAATTATTGTTTCTTTACACTGAGTAACATTTTTTTTTAAAATTTATTTTGTTTGCCAATGTCCAATTATTGGACATTGAATCATCATTGAATTTTCCGTTACATGTTCAATTTTTTTCTTTTTTTAAGAAAAAAATTATTTTATCTCTTTTGTGTTTTTATTTTGTACTTTGATTTAATATTTACTTTCTTTGCATAGAAGTAATCCGTGTTTCAAAATGTTCAATGTTCAACTGGAATAAGCTTGTTTAAATTAAGTATATATGTATATATACATAATATACTTATTATCTAATTATCTATTCATTTTCGAAAAAAAAGATAATTAACTTATGACTGTAGATGCGTTATGCCATTTGAACTGCAGAATCGCTTGAACGAGTCCGCAACAAATTGTGATCCATTATCAGTTACCAAGGTTTCCGGCACTCCGAAACAACTAAATAAGGTAGACAGCTTCTGAATAGTTTCCGAAGCTGTACAATTCTGCAAGCTGTATATTTCTGGCCATTTTGTATACGCATCTACAATAATT